TTAATATTTTCCCTCCATATACTTTATTATGAACAGTTTCTCACCACTGGAAATTTCTTACAAAACTTCTTTCAAATGATTATCCTATAGATCTCCCACTCTCTCTTACTGCCACTGAGCCAACTCCAGCTCATCCCGACCCGGTTGGACAGGGGAGAACTGGCCCTGTGGGTGTCTGAGGCTATAACTCGTTATGGGAGCAGAAAGCCTCCTCTTTCTCCCAGAATGGCTGGTGGGTGGCCCAACTTGTAACCCATGATAGCACCAGGGGGATACAGTGTATTACGGATATACTATAATTTACTACATCTATTAAGTGTACCGGAGTCCAGGTAGTGTAAGAGGTTACATGTTGGGCTGCAAACTGCAAGGTCAGTAGTTTGAACCCACTTGCTAATCCATGGGAATGAGAGGAAGCTACCTGCTCCCATAAAGATTTAAAGCCATGGAAACCCCAGGAGCAATCCTACCAAGGTAGAGTCAGAGTGGACTGGTGGGCTTTTTTTATGTAGTCTCTCTATCTTATTACCTCTTTAAACTATTGAAAAGTAAGGATGTTACTTTCAGGACTAAGGTAGGCCTGACCCAACCATGCATAGTATTTTCCATTGCCTCGTGTGCAGGTGAAAGTTGAACATTGAATCAGGAAGCCTGGAGAAATCGCACTGCTTTGGAACATGGGGTTGGTGAAGAATATGAAAAGTACCATGGACTGCCAAAAGAGCAATTACATCTGTCTTGGAGGAAATACAGCCAAAGTGCTTCTCAAAAGCAAGGATGGCCAGCTGTCCTTTGGGCACGTTGTCAGGAGAGACCAATCCCTGTAGCACACCATGCTTGGCAAAGCAGAGTGGCAGCGAAAAAAGAGGCAGGCCCTCACTGAGCTGGATGGCCACATGGCCACAACAGTGGGTCAAACATAAGACCAATTGTGAGAATGGTGCAGGATTGGGCATTATATTGCACCTAGGGTCCCTATGAATGGGAACCAATGGCACAGCATCGAACAACAATAATATTATATTTTTTGTGTCTAATGAATACCTATCTTGTAGACGGATACACTATTTATTATAGAAAGCTATGTGTATACATAGACATCTCTATCTCACGATGAACTACATCTTTACTATAGTTATACACTCTGTGTTAGGTTGTGTTCTCCAGAGAAGCAAAATCAGTGACACTTGTATGTGTCTGTCTATAGGAAGAGATTTATTTACATCAAGAAATGATTTACACTGTTGCAGAAGTGGGTAAACCCAGCCTGGTTCAAGTCTGGGGGTCAGATGTAAGCTGGGGACTTTTCCTGACTCCTGCAGGGCAGGGGCTGACAGACAGGAAGCTGGAAGATGAAGCAGGGCCACACGTGGAAGATGCAGAGCTGAAAGAATCAGCATCGAGGTTGGCTGCCTGAATTCAAGGCTGGCAGTCAGCTGATGGCTTCTGGGATCGGCAGGCAACACCAAGGGAGACTGATGAACCACCAGCAAGATCCTAGTCTAGCAGAAGGTGACGGGGAGAAAGAGAGTTCAGTTCTGCTCAGGGTCTCTTTTATACAAAAGGCCACACCCCCAAGGAGGTGTCATCAGGCTGTGATCTGATTGATAAGTAGGATTCAACCCCCACCTTCATCCAGATATGGCTAGTTGACATAAAATGGAATCCCATCATCTCAAATACCATCCACCCACAGCTATCAAATACATTCTGCCTTGTGATGACTCAATATAGGGTTTCTGAAACTGAAAATCTTTAGGGAGTAGACAGCCTCATCTTTCTCTTGCAGAGCACCTGATGGGTTTGAACCAGAGACCTGGCAATTAGTAGTCCAACATTTACATGATAGCACCACCAGGGCACCTTAGCTCCACCAAAGCTCCTTATAGATCAGAGTTACTACCCATGGGTGACATATATCTCATTGTGGAGCCCTGCTGGCATAGTGGTTATGAGTTGGGCGGTGATACTCAAGGTCAGCAGTTCAATACCACCAGCTGTTCTGAGGGAGAAAAACAGGGCTTTCTACCCCATAAATAAAGAGTTACAGTGTTGGAACTGAGATCTACCCTGTCCTACAGGGTCTCTTTGAATTTAGTGAGTTTTTCCTTTTTTGATAGAGTCCATTGTACTCATACACTGAAGATGCCCTGCAATTTACTTTGCAATTTACAAAGCCCCCTTGAAGGCTGTGAGGATTCTAGCTTTCATCGTCATAAATAATACTTTAAAATCGTATTGCACACTCAGTGGCATATATCTCTCACCTTCTGTACTGAGAGCTCAGCTTCAGAGCCGGCGGATCTCATGTGATTCTCACCGCCCCACATGAGGCAGTGAGACACGTGTCTTCAAATTATGGAGGGAAAAGAGTAACATGAACAGAATAAACCCTACAGACAAGAAATAACAATTCTGCTTACTTCACCCATCTACCGGTGACTATTAGAGATGTAAGAAATAATTTAAATTGAGTATGAAATGTATCACCAAATATTTTTTAACAATATGAGTTAGGTGAAGATTTACAGAGCAGATCATCAGTTTTTCTTTAAGATCATCAGTTTTACATTCAACATTCCATGCACATTTTGCTTCAACTCATCCGCTGCAAAAACCTTGAAAGTATCATCATTTAGTTGGCTCCCTTTGTCTTTCCTGTTTCCGTTTTTCCTTCTTTTCCAACCCTCTGAACTTTGTCGTTGGGTAAATCTTGCTGTGTTGGTCTTCAATGGCTGATCAGCTCCCGATCTGAAAGGTAGTGAAAGGCCGTAGTGGTGGGGACCCACTTGTCTCTTCCTGCACAGGGAACCCGGCCTCTTTCATGATTTGGAGGGTCATTCCACATGTTTCTCTCATTGTAATGTGATCCTTTGCAGAGCAGTTTGTAGTGATAGCGGGGAACTATCTAGTTCTTCTGGCCTCCGTGTTGCAGCGGTGAGTGTTTCCAGGGCCCCTTAGTCCGTGAGATTCGTGGTTTCCCTACATCTCCCAGTTTCATCACTCCTTGGTCCTCGAGCTGGAGAAAGACCAATGCTGCACCTTCGATGGCTGCGCACAGCTGTTAGGACCCCAGTCACTGCTCACTCCTGTACGATGTAGAACACTTCCTTATCATCAGACATTTTCAGGTCGACTTTACTTTATTGTTTTCATACTAGCCCAAAGGTTTTGAATATACAAAACCACATAGAGCGCTTCAAAAGGTTTTCAGTCTGAAGGATATATATCCCTAAACAGAACCACCCATTTGCACTTGACTGTGGATGTTCGCTTTGGTTGTTGCCAGCATTTGGGGCTTTTCCTTAAGTTGGATTCTTATTCTTGTGAAATTCTTTATATTTCTTGTCAGGTGACCTTCAGAAAGGTCACCAGGAGAGCGTGAGAGTGAGTACTACTGAGATTATTGTGGACAGTAAATATTGACACCGATTTAACCCTTATTGATTTTTAACTAAAAGAAAAAAGCTGACTTTATTTTATTTTGCTTTGGGAAAAATTTTTCCCCATATGCTCAATGGCTCTTTGTGTTTCCTCTCCAAGGTATTGTTAGTGGTCAAGTGTATGTTTATATTGCACATTCCAGTTTTTATTAAAATTTTTATTGGTATTTGAGGGAAAGTTTACAGAGCAAATTGGTTTTCCACTCAACAATTCACACACATTTGTTCTGGCAAATTGCAATCCCCACAACATGCCAGCACATTTTCCACTTGTTCCTGTGCTTACTGTTTCCATTTGTCCTTCTACTTCTTCTTGCCTTCGGAGCTTGATCCCTGGACGAATACTGCCCTTTGGTCTTGTGCAGTGGTCCTAATGAATGAGGGTCTCCCTGGTGTTCTTGGTCACATTATGGGCTTATCTATCCTTTGGCTGAAGGTTGAGCCCTGGAGATGACTTAAAGGTTTAAAGGGTGATTACAGGCCATAGACTCAGAGGTGTCGCCAGTCTCTAGCAGACCAGTGAGCCTGATATTTTATTATTGTTATTTTGAGATATTTTATTATTGTTATTTTGAGTGTTGTTCCATATTTTTCACCCACTCTGCCGAGGATCTTCCTTTATGATTGGTCATCAGTGGTAGCCAGGCACTATTTAGTTCTTCTGGTCCTGACGTCATAGAGTCTGTGTTTTGTCTGGTCCCTTAGTCTTTGATTTCCAGACAGGAAGAGACCAATAGTTGCATCTCAATTGGCCGGTTAAAGTTGTCCTGATTGCAAGAATACACCCCATTCAAGTGCGCTCAATGAAAAGTTGTAGTGATGTTGGTGAGTGGTGGTTCCAAAAGGAACTGAAAAGAGACAATGACCTAAGGAGCGTTCGTTGCCCACCGTAGAAACATTTTGCTGTCTCCACCAGTTTCAGCTACTTAACTGCCCTGCAAGTGAATCAACTTGATGGCCAAGCTCAGTGTGTAATCTACAAATGCAGGTCTTTCAACTCAGATTGCACCTCTCTGGCTATAATCTGTAAGTCTCTGGATTGAATTTCCTAGCAAGAAACCGGTTGATGTTCATTAGCCATTTTTTAGCTTGTCTAGCTAGTGTCTTGCCCAATTCTTGACCATCAGGGAAGCGTTGTGGACATGATACACAAGGGGCTGCCCCCTTTTCAAGACTGGTAAGGTAGTCTTTAACATGTATGGAGCCCATGCCATTAACGACTGTATCATCTGTACTGGGTTGGGCTTATCATCTCTGGGACATTCTCCCGCCTCACCCCACCCCCGGAAATATGCCTAGTGATCAAAGGATGGACAAATTTGCTTTCAGTTCCTTTTCCGCCTCTTGAGTTCAGTCCTTGTCACACTGCATTATGCTCTTACTTGTAGGGGAAAGCCACACACGTTGATATTTAAATTTCTTTTCCCAAAGCGGCATCACATTTAAGGAGAGTGAATATTTTATAGATGGAATACCAGCCAGGAAATGTTTCAATGAAATGTCCATAGCGTGTGGGTGAGTGGAGATGCCAAACTCAGTCTTTCTGCTTCCTTCCAGATTTACCAACGATGCTGGTTAGTGTTCAAGAAAGCTTCGAGCAAAGGCCCAAAGAGACTGGAGAAATTTTCCGATGAACGTGCTGCCTATTTTAGGTGTTATCATAAGGTAAGTCTCGATGGTGGTCTCTTACGGGAATCCTGGGTCATGCATAGTCCATCTTCCAGATTTCAGCTCCAAGATCTATTTATTCATAAGCAGGTGAGTTGAATTCATTGTGATTGTATCTAGATTAAGAAGCCCTGGCGGTTTGGTGACTGTGTATGTGGCCGCTGATCTTCTCACGGTAGACTTCCAATGGTATCCAGCTGGGCTTCACAGATTGACTTATCCGAGAGAAAAGGACCAGCAATGGGTATATGAGAGAGCTGGTTGTTGTGAAGTGCCCGCCAATCAGCTCTGACTCCCTGTGACCTTGTGTCTAACAGACTGAAACACCCCCCAGTCTTGGGCCACCCTCAGGATGGCGGTTGAGTTTGAGCCCATTGTTGTAACCATTGTGACAAGCCATCTCTTGGAGGGCTTTCTTTTTCCTCCCTGACCTAATACCAAGCATGATGCCATGTTCTAGAGATGGATCCCTCCTGATAGCATGTCCAAAGTACATGAGACAAAGTCTGACCATCCACCCATGTAAGGAGTATCTGGCTATATTCATCCAAGACAGATTTGTTTGTTCTTCTGGAATTCGATGATACTTTCAATATTCTTCACCAACATCATGATTTTGCTCATTAATTATCCAGATTTTACATGTTTATGAGGCAACTAATGATACCGATTGAAGGACAAAGGGTCAGGTTCACTTTAATCCTCCAAATGACACCCTTTCAACCTTGGAAAGAGATCGTTTGCAGGTCTTTTGGAACCAGGGTGGCCTGGTGGATTATGCATTGGTCAAGGTCAGCAGCTCAAACCCAACAGCTGCTCCATGGGAGAAAGAGGAGGCTTTCTTCTCCCATGAAGATGTACAGTCTTGGAAACCCACAGGGACAGTTCGAATTTATCCTATAACATTGCTACGAATCAGAATGGACCCAATGGCAGTGAACTTTTGGAGATTTTTTTGTTGTTGTTGCACCAAATCTGCCCAATGTCATGTATTACTTGATTTCTTGACTGCTACTTCCATGAGCGTTGATGATTGTTGATCCAAATAAAATCAAATCCTTGACCATTTATCAGATGTCATCTATTGCTATAGTGTGAGGATTTTTTTGGTTGTGTTTGCCTTTTTATGCTGAAGTTCAACCCATTCTGAAGGCTGTAGTCTTTGGTCTTCATCAGTAAGTGCTTCAAGCCCTCTTTGACACACGACTGTTGAGTGCTTTATGATACTCTCCCAAACCCGCCCATCCGCACATGGTGTTGCCTCTAAGTTCGGAATTTATGGAGACTCTGAGGGAGTCTGAATCTCTCACTCCTTCTGCAGTGGCCCACGTCTTGCCAGTCTTGACCCTCTCGAATCTGTTTCAAACACGTTCTGTGTGAATCACACTGACATTCTTCTACCCGAAGACTCAGCCTGCAGGACCCCAGGATTTAACCGCCTGTTCCCTCTCTAACCTCATCTCTCAGTTCCCTCCAGCCCCATTGTTCTCTGCCCCAAGGGCCCTGGACTCCCGGCTTCTCCTGCAACATGCTATGCACATCTCTGCTTTGTACCTGCTCTTTGGTTTTCCTGGAACGCTCTCCCTCTAAATAACTTCATGGCTCAGTCATTTGCTTTGTTTCGGTCCTTCTTCAAGTTCCTCCTTTTTTGTGAGGCCGCGTGCCTCCATTATTTCAATCGCAGTCCTCCAGCGTGCATCTCCCCATATTTTCCTTCTAAGCACCACGATTATATATTTGTTTACTTGTTTCTATTGTTTTTCCTGCCCCAGCTCTGCCCCCCCTCCCCTATCACAAAATAGGACCCATAGGGACAGGTAGTATTCGTGTGTTTGTGTGTGTGTGCACGCATGAGAGAGAGAGAGAGGACTTGTTACCAATAGCAGACACAGGGGAAGCACTTTTTACAATATTGGTTGAGAAGCAATGACTATTTACAATAAAGGAAAGGGACAACATGCAGGTATCTGTATGTCATGCTTTTATGTAGTGAAGCAGAAGAAAGTTGTACTTGAGACAGTTACAGGCAGGAAGAAGAGCTTTGAATTGGGGGGAAAGAAGTGGGTGGTGATGGTCCAGCATGGAATCAGCCCTGAGGGTTTCAGGAGTGCAAGAGTAAAAGTTTAACACCCACGTGGAGAGAAAAGCTCCCTGGTGAGGTATTGGGTGTGTGTTGGACTACTAACCTGAAGGTCAGCTGTTTGAAGCCACCAACCACTCCTTCGGAGAAAGACAAGGCTTTTTTACTCCCGCAAGGAGTTACGGCCTTGGAAACCCAGAGGCAGTTCTACCCTGTCATTTAGGATCACTCTTACTGGGAAACAACTTGATGACAATGAGTGTTATTGTATTCTCTGTAATTGGGGTGGCCGGGATGGGCTGTGAGGCAAAGGAAGGGAGGGGGCACCGGAGACAAAGGCTCTATTTCTGGCTTCTACCTGCTGGCTGTGGAATTTAATATGCAAATCTTTGGAGAACGTGGTGAGCCCCAGTCTCTTTCATCTCTAATAATCATTAGGCCAAGTTCAAAGCAGTAGAATGGAAGCATTATCTACATTTAAGCCTCCCAGCCCTTGATGAGTTCCTGAAGCTGATTCATCTGCCGTACTCTTGAGATTGGATTCATTTATGGTTAATCTCTGAGGGGCGCACAAAAAGCTGGAGTAACTGTGGGCTGTACTTTCAGAAATCGCGATGCTGTGTAATTTATGAATCTTGATAATAAGATACTGGGATTCTGAGTAGCACACAGTGACCAGATTTCAGAGTTTATTCGAATAGAAATGAAGCCATTTCTCAAAGAAAGGAGGGGTCTTATGTGATTCCCTTTGATCAGTACAGGGGTAACTACCGTAGCTACACCACTGGTCTAGAAAATCTATAGCATTGAGGCAGAGGGCGTCTGACAATTTATTTTAAAAGAGAATCTTAAGGGAGGAAAAAAATAATTTTGCCTATAAGACTCATTGTAAAGATTTTACTGTAAGACATGGACAGGTGGATTTTTGATCTTGGTTCCTTCTTTGCTGAGAATGGAGTTAAAAATGCTGTCTTGCAAAAATGGGAACATGAAGGACAAAAGGGAACATGAATATGTGAATAAAGCACATGCTAAACGCTTAATTTTTTTTTTTCATTTAACAATGCACTGCTTCGTGGACCACTCCCCCAGCATGCCCAATAGCCAATGGTGGCTGTGAATCTGATGATCTGTAAATGTGGTGATATTAAGACCCTGGTGATTCTAAAGACACCATCTGACTCTCAATCCTAATCCTGGTTTTGCCTAATCCGAGCAAGTTGCTTAACATTTTCAAGAAACCACATTATTTTCTGTTTTGAATGTCTTGTTGATAGCATGTTGTCTTCAGTAATGGAAAGTATGATGAAGTTAAGGGGAGTAGAAAGCTTCATCTTTGTCCTTGGGAGAGGTTGGCGGTTTCTAACTGCCAAGTTCATGCTTAACAGGCCAAAGCATAACTAGCAGCCGGGCTCCTCCCAGACAGACACCTAACATCAACACAGATTTGAGGATAAACCCTAAGTTCCCCCAAGACGCTCATGCCGTGATCCTTCCTCCAGCTCTCGTAGCAAACGTATTGTGGTTTAGAAAATAAATTGTAGAGTCTGTTAGTGATGTCAGTTCACATTTTGACTTTCATTCTAAATCAGTAATTCATGGCTGTGACTCACTGATTTCACTATTGCAGAGTGGTTTTGTTTTCTGGTCCCCGAGTGGCACCAAAGGTTAAGGGCTTGCTTACTAGCTGAAAGGTTGGCAGTTCAAACTCACCCCGAGACACCTCAGAAGACAGCCCTAGCACTCTGATCCTGAAAGATCAGAGCCTCAAGAACTCTGGGGAACCCACTTCAACTTGGTACATGTGGGCTTTCCAGGAGTCTGAACTGACGCCACACCAACAAACAAGAAGGTCTTTCATATCAGTGCGCCATGATTCATTTATCTTGTGCAAGAGATTCATTCAATGCAATACATCATTTGATTTCTTCACTGCTGCTCCCATGAGCACTGATTGTAGATCTAAGAATGATAAAATCCTAGACAACCTCAATCTTACCTCCATTTATCCCAGCACCACCTACGGGTCTAGCTGTGAGGCTTTTTGTTTTCTTTACATTGAGTTGTAGTCCCTGTTGAAGGCGACACTCATGAAAGTGTTGATGAGCAAGGATGTCAGTGACCCCAATCATGGTGTTTTCAACCCTTTCTATGCATGTGAAAGTTGGACACTGAATAAGGAAGACCCGAGGGAGAGTTGATGCCTTTGAATTGTCGTGCTGGAGAAGAATATTGAAAGATGCACAGACTGACCCCAAACTCCCACAGAGAGATCTGTCTTGGAAAAACTGCAGCCAGAATGCTTCTTGTATGTAATCAGGGAAAGACTTCAGTTCACATGCTTTGGACATGTCATCCGGAGAGACCAGTCCCTGGAAGAGGACATCCTGCTTGGTGAAGTAGGAGAGTAGCAAAACCTAGGAAGGCCCTCGATGAGATGGATGATACCGTGACTACTGCAGGGGACTCAAACACACCAGCAATGGTGAAGATGCTCAGGACCAGGCGGTAGTCCCTTCTGTTGTCCCTGAAGTCACTAGGAGTCAGAACAGACTCAACAGTGATCCAGTTATGACTGCTCCTAAGGGAAGGACAGAGACACTCCCAGTCCTTCCTTACGCGATTTCTCTTACACCCGGGCCTTTTGTGCACCTCTCCTTTTGTGTTTCCGATAATATTGGGGGATGCAAGAGCCTCAGAATTAAGAGGGCCAGGTAATAGCCAGCAACTGTCAAATCCTGGTCTCGACTTTCAAATTGTCTCCAGAAAACCGAAACCAGCCAAACAAACAAAACCACTCACTGCCATTGGGTTGACCTGCCTCCTAGCGAGCCGGTAGGACACGGTCGATTTGCCCCTGTGGGCTTTCGAGACTATAACTCTTTATAGAAGTAGAAAGGTTTGTCTTTCTCCCGAG